GACTAAGACATGACCCTGTAGAACAGAATAGAACCGCTCCATAGGGTTTCCAAGGCTGTAATCTTTACGGAAGCAGACTACCACATCTTTCTTCCACAGAGCAGCTGGTGGGTTCAAACCACTGACCTTCCGGTTAACAGTTGAGCATTTAACCACTGCACCACTAGAGCTCCAGGAAGCCCTTAGGGGAACTGAAACCAAGAGACGTCTCTGAAATCCAAAAGCAGATTGGACCATGACAGGCAGAATACTGACCTCCCAAAGACGTCCACCTCCTAATTCCCAGAATTCGTAAATATACTGATACGTGGAAAATGGGTATTAAGGTTGCAGATGGAATTATGGTTGCAAAACAGCTGACTTTAAATTTTAAGAGTATACAGAATTACACAGGTGGCCCAAGAGTGAGCATAAGGGTTCTTAAAAGTGGGAGAGGGAGGCAGAAGAGAAGGTCAAAGTGATTCATTGTAAGAAGGACTTGACCCATCATTGCTGGCTCTGAAGATGGAGGAAGGGAGCCATGAGCTGGGGAATATGGGCAGCCTCTAGAAGCTGGCAAAGGCAGGCAAACAGTTTCTCCCCAAGAGCCTCTGGAAGGAACACAGCCTTGCCCACGCCTTGATTTTAGCCCAGTGAGACCTGTGTTGGACTTCTAATCAACAGAACTGTAAGATAATGAATATGTGATGTTTTAAGCCATTAAGTTTTGGTAATTTGTTACAGCAGCAACAGAAAATTAATACAGACTGATTTAATCCATCCTCCTGACAAGCAGGCTGTGAAAACAGAACAACAGCAGTTTAACACGGAGCCTCAAGCACAATTCGAATTGTGCAACCAAGAAAGAGGAAACTGTTGCAGAAAGCCAACCAATGTGCTAGAAAGAAACTAAACTCAAGATATGAGAGAAGTTAACATCCAAAGAAACAGAGCTAAAAGAGCAAAATAGGCATTTAGAATAGATATCCCTAGAGAGGGGCAAGATTCTAAAAGAGAACTGAATAGGAATCATGAAAATTAAAAACTTAATCATTGAAATAGAAATTTTCTTGAATGAGTTGAATTGCAATGGCACAGCTGATGAGAAAACTAGTGACATAGAAAACCAGGGGAGTTTTCCCAGAACATAGCACAGAAGGACAAAAAGATGGTATATATGAAAGAAATGATAAAATACATGGCAGATAGAACCATCTCTGAATTATTGGAGGATAGACTGTAGCAAAAAGAAACCAACTTTAAAAAAAGCGTCGGTGAGAACCTACCAGCCGCTCCACAGGAGAAAGATGTGGCAGTCTGCTTCCGTAAAGATTTACAGCCTTGGAAACTTTATGGGGAAGTTCTACTCTGTCCCAGAGGGCCGCTATGAGTTGGAATCAACTGGACAGCAAGGGGTTTAAGAAAAGAATAGTGAGTAGAGAAAGTAGTAATGTTTTCTAACAAGTTCCAATAAATATTGATGACAAAAGTTTTAATAACAACCTGGAAATAAAATTTCTAATGACAACAGGGAGGTCAGGGGTTGTTGGGGGAGAGAGAGAGACAGTGAACTATAAGTATGCTAAGATCTTGGCCTGATTGAGGGGAAGACAGAGGTACCGATTAACTCAAGATGTTATCAAAATATGTTTAAGTCTGCATATTATCAAATTAAGAGTAATGATTAGAAAATAAAAGCAAAAGACATAAACTCCAAATATTTGAGAGGGAGACGATCAGAATATGGAAACCCCAGTCAATTTAGCTCTATATTGAAGGAATAATACACAATGAGTAATTCAGAAATTTATGACAATAATACATCAATAGGTCAAAGGAGAAAAACAAATGAGCATCTTTACAGGTGTTAAAAGTTCATTCAATAAAATTCAGCATTCATCTTTGATTAAAAATAAAATTCTAGTTAAACTAGATATAAAAATGATACTTTGAAAACTTAATAAAGAAGATTTCAAATATCTAACTTAAACCAGTAAACCCCTCCCCACCAGGCATTCCTGTTTAAGTCAGTGTCTAGGATGTTGCTGTTGTTAGGTGCCAAAACCCACTATTATTTAACATTGTTCAGAAAGTTCCAGCTAGTGTGATAATGAAAAAAAATGAGAGGTAGAAATGTTGTAATGGAGAAAATAAAACTATTATTTTTATATGACATGATTGTCAATGTGGAAAACTAAAAAGGAAGCAATTGAAAAATTGTTAGAACCAGTAAGAGTTCAACAAAGTGGCTAGTACAGAATAAATTATTTTTCGAAGAAGACATCTAATTGTCCAAAAATAGGAGGTTGTCAAATCAATTATACCTCTATATAACTAAATCCTACTATGTGGTCTTTAAAAACATGAAAATCTAATTCCATGGAAAAGACTATCTATAGGTAAGTAATAAAAAGCAATTTGTAAAAGAATATGTACAGAAGTAAATAGGTACACTTACTTGTGGATATACACCAAGAAGCTAACAGTGATTTATCTCTATAAGATCATAAGGGAGTTTTGTTTCCTATTAGTCTTTACCTGTATTTTTCAACTATTCAACATTCATAATTAAGTAGAGCACATTATTTGCTCAGATAACTTACAAAAAAACCCAATAACTAACAATATGAATAATATCCAATCACACAAGAATAAAAATGCATGTTAAACAAACAAAATAGCACATACCCAGGAGAAACTCATGATCTGGGATTGGATCTCATTTTAAACAGACCCCCTGGGAAAGATATTTGGGTAATAAGGGGTGGGGGGGATTCTAAGACGGTCCAGATATTAGATGCTATTAAGAAACAATTGTTAATTTTTGATACTGTTACTGGGCTGTGTAGGAAAATGTACCTTTTTTTAGAGATACAGAATGAAGCATTTAGGGTAGAATGTGAACAGTCCTGTAATTTACTTTTAAGATACTTAAGCATAAAAAGATAAAGTAAGTAGAATGGGAATTTTTCTCTTAAGCGGTATAAACAGGACAGGTATGATTTTTTTCACCTACCAAATGGGGGAAATTCAAAAATATAATAACCAAGATTAGTAGGTGGAAACTAAACAAGAACGTTCATTTATTGACAGGAATTAAAGTAGTAATAGGGCAATTTGGTCATTTTTATAAATTCCTTAAAAGTATGCCTACCTTTGTTTTACCTATTAACACTTCTAGGAATTTTTTTCTAAAGAAATAATCATAGATACACACAAAAATATGAGGATGCTCACGACATAATGAAAAATCTTTTTAAAACTTCAGAATGTCTAATGTAAAAAATGGTGTATTGACACAATAGCCATAATAATGGACTCAAACATACCAACAATTATGAAGATGGTGCAGGACAGGGCAACATTTTGTGCTGTTATACATAAGGTCACTTTGAGTAGAGCCATCTCAACAGCAACTAACAACAATAATAACAATGGAGTAACATATAGCCTCAAATATTGTGCTTTTGAAAAAAATACAATGTCTATAATATAGTGTTAAGTGAATAAAAGTATACAAAATTGAAGATGTAATAGAATTCTGATTTTATAAAATATGCTTAAACCCCATATATATACACAAAGTCAGGAGGAAAGATGGGAAGGAACTATATCAAATTCTAATAGTGGTCACCTCTGGTTCTCTGAATTATAGATGATTTTGATTTTATTTCTTATACTTTTGCATGTTTTCAAAATTTCTCATTTTGAACATGTTTTATAAACTGAAAAAGTTGGCTTAAGACAACTTAAGAGTTGTCTTAAAAATATAGCTAAAGTAAAATGTTTTATATTTAAAGGATCATGCTCGTATTATTTGGAATATTTATATATATAGAAAGAGAATATCTTCCACATGATGTTAGGTAATTGACATTTATGGATGAGAACCTACCCAAGAGGTCCACCTGTAATGTCTGTGTTCAGGGGATTGAAACTCAGCCTCCATGTAGGAAAGTTGACCAGCTGTCCTTGTAGCAGCACTGTGCTAGGAAAACCCAGATATCTCTCTGGGAGTGTTTATACTCTCAAGCAGTTCCTAGTGTACACACTTAAGGAACAAGGCAGGCAATTTTACATTTATGAAAAACACGAGAGGAAAAAAGCGAAATCGGTGTGGAAAATTAGAAAGTTCACAATTTTTTTAAAAGAACATTTAAAGTGGTAAAAGATTTTTTAGTGTATCAAATGAAAAGCGGGAGTAAAAAACGACAGGGTGGAAGAAACACTATTTTAGGAAAAACCAATGGTGAATGGAATCTATGAGAATAAAAACTACAACAAAGGAAAAAGCAGAAAAAAATAGTAGGTGAGGTAAGTGTCGAAATGATTCCACAATCAAGTCAACAAATATACAGGAGAAACATTGTTTCATTCATCAAACTTTAGGTGAGAGACTTCAGGGTACAAGGCAAGTTCTAGACACTGTGTGGGATTCAAAGTTACAAAGAACTTGGATTCTTCCACTTCCTCCATTTAACAAATGTTTATTCAGAGGTTACTCTGTGCCAGCACTGGGCTAGACGCTAAAGATCTGAATATGAATAGGACTGACATAATTTCTGCTCCAAATGTTTATAAATTAGTGACAGATATAGATAGACATTATAGCACGTACGGTAGAGAACAAACATATATGTCTACTATACGAATATATACAGCATTTGATAGGTGCTACATGAGTAGTATAAACTAGAAGTTACTGAAAACAAGGAACTAGAGAAAGGTAAAAAGATAAAATATATTAAATAGATGAAAGCAGAAGAAATAAACTACACAAGTTAATTTTTACCTCTACTCTATTTCTGTATCTTTGCAAGACAGCTACAAATGTGCCCTACTTTGCTATCTTTCGTGTATAATTGAAAGGACATTCACAACATTGAGAAAAACAACACTAAAAATCATGTTGCAAAAATGTGAAAGATGTTTCCTGTTTCCAATATAATCGCTAGCATGTTCTTGCTTATTTAAAGTAATTATGCTATAATCAAAAAATTAACAAAAGTTGTTTTACTTACCAAGATTTCTTTCTCGGAAGAAGAGAAAATAACTTCTAAAGGTACAGAAAAATAAGCGCTTGACAAATGCAAGTCCTTGGTTTACGTTTAAGGAAAGGAATGTCTTAGAAATGGTTTTGTGCCATCTGTTGAACCTTCCTGGAATTGCACCTAGATATTAATTTCGCTTTCCAAGGTAACAGAGGAAAGAAAGCATATGAGTCAGCAGGTCTGTCTGGACTGCAGCCTAAAACATTAACCAAAATTTTAAATTCTTATGAGCAAGCCACTTATGGTAATTTCAGTGTGAAGAAAAATATTTTTCTAATATTTATCTGTAAGAGTTTGCAGCCTGAATGTTAAATTGTCATCAGAGTGTACAACTATTGAACTTTACCAATTTTCTGTTATCACAATATCTGACATTTCCAAAATAATTGCAACTACCGATCATCCAGCAATTTTGGAGCATTATTTTAGCTGATGAGATACTTTGAAATAATATATGCTTAGGTTCAAGATTTGTTTTGTTTTTTTTTTAAATCACCTTTCAAGGAAAGTTTAGTAGTTGACACAGGTAGTCCCCTACTTACAACATATTCTAGTTACAATGAATGGCACTTACGATCATCAATTTTTTTTTATATACCTTATTGTTAGTAATACGTACTACATACAATGTTGCAGCGTGTAATTGGCTAACATTATCATTCTTAGATGTTCACTCGCATATGTTCAATTTTATACTTTACAGTTCAAAACATTGTCATAAAGATTTAGTTTTCTAAACTAAATCAGGGGCTACAGTTGCTTGAAAACATGGACACAAACACTGATTGCTTTGCTAAAGCCAATAGGCAGATCTGGGAAACAGTAAGATGTTACCGTGAAATGTATGAAGAAAAAAAGGATCATACAGACAACTTTCACTAATTTTCTGACTAGAAACACCATCCCAATTCCCAGGGATAATCCAGATGGCTCAGAACCTTCTGCAGCAGACTTACTACTGCGACTGACAAAATGCCAACATCATCCAATTCTTCTTTATCGTCAAAGTAAATTTTTATGATTTTTTACATATGTATGTATTAAAATATATCTGTAAATTTGTATGTAATGTTTCCATCCCCTAAAGACAAAGATCAGATTTATAAAGACACTGATAATAAAAGGCAATAATAATGAAAACTAAAAAAAAAAAAAAAAAAAAGCATGAGGTATTCAACCTACATCAGAACCGACTTACAATGGAATCATAGGAACAGAACCCTGTCGTAAGTCGGGAACTCCTATATTTAGCCACATCTACAGTACTATTCTTGATTCCCAGCCACTGCACCTCAAGTGCAGCCACCATCTGTCCGTCAGTGGAGGCTTACATGTTGCTGTGATGCTGAACAGGTTTCAGTGGAGCTTCCCGACTAAGACAGACTAGGAAGAAAGACCTGGTGATCTACTTCTGAAAATCAGCCAGTGAAAATCCCAGGCATCACAACAGTCCAATCCTGTTGTGCGTGGGGTTGCCATGAGTCAGGGGCCAACTCAACAGCAGCTAGCAACAGACTACTATTCTGAGTACCTGGGAAGTGCCAATGATTAACACGCTCGGCTGCTAACTGAAAGGTTGGAGGTTCAAGTCCACCCAGAGGCACTTTGGAAAAAAGGCCTAACCATCTAGTTCCAAAAAATTAGCATTGAAAACCCTATGGATTTCAGTCTACTCTGACACACACAGGGTTACTGTGAGTCAGAATCGACTTCACAGCAACTGGTTTTTTGGATACAAAAAGGGGGTGTCTGGTTTAACCAGATGCTTTCATTAGCCAGGATACCCTATTCCCAAGACTTTCCACTTAATTGAGATTCTGTAAATAACCTAACATATGAACTAAATAATCATCCCATAATTAATCACACTATTTGGCATTATCTCATCTTTACAGAAAATAAGACACGCTGCAGTTTGGCGATGACAAAGTTGGACGTCTGGGTAAGAATCAGTTCTGCTTTCTGGACGAGCGGAAATGCCAGCTTCTTACTATTCACTCTTACTCATCAAACATAACAGGAAGTCTTCTTAGGCCTAAGGAGGCAACAAGGTCTCTACACAACTAGCAAAAGGCAACAGCAATGAGTATCTGTCATACTGGGAAACCAGATTTGTGAAACAGGCAGAGGAGAATTTGAAGCCACACTGTATGAAAGTCTTCAGAAAAAAGAAGAAAAAATACACACATGGACATCACTGCAGATTTGTTCACATTGCGCAGTGACTTTTAATAAACCCTCAGAAGGGCATTGCATAACAGCACTGGTGCTTGAGAACAAGGAGACCATTTACTTACGTTGAGGCCGTTATAATTCTGAGAAATGTCTTTAAGGGAATAACCAAAACCATAAAACTCGGCTAATATGGACGACAGCATGGCAGGGGAACAAATAGTCAGACAAAACTGGACTGAAATCCTCGCTCTGCCACTTACCAGCAGGGTGACCTTTGGCAAGTTGTTTAACCTCACCAAGACTCTACTTATTCATCCACAAAATGGAGATGCTTGTTGTGATTTTTAGGGGAGATAATGAGTATAAAATGCCTGGAATAGTGCCTGACACAGAAAAGATGTCATTATAGTTAGGAGATTTAGAATTTTATACAAGACAAACATTTTTATGTGCTTATACAGAAAGATCTTCAGGCTATACTATTAAGAAAAGCAAGGTGCAGAACAATATGGAAAACATGACACCATTTGCATAAACTCTGGTCTATCACACATTGACACCATTGTCTTCTTGCCAGGCACTGTTCTGAGTATTTTACAAGTATTAACTCACTTAACCTTCATGGTAAGTACTGTCATTATCCCCACCTAACAGATGGGAACACTGGGAAATGGAGCAGTTGGGTAACTCATCCAAGGTTACACTGTTGGTCAGTGGTGGGGTTGGAGTTTGAACCCAGGCAGTCTGGCCCCAATGTCTGTGTGCTTAAGCATTACACATGATGCCTCCCAAATTTCCAAGAGGGTCTACATACATATGCTGATATATGCATTATTATTATTATTTTTTTCCTGGAAGGATACTCAAGAAACTGTCACTTTTGGGCAAAAGAAATGAGAGAGAGAGATTCTTATTCACCATTTTATGTCCTCTGCCTTGTTTGAATTTTTTACTATGTACATGCATTACTTCTATTTTTAAATATAAATAAAGTAGTGTCACAGTGAGATAAGTAAAATATTACAGTCTAAGGCTAACAAATATACCATCTAAATATGGACAGAGGCAATACATTGTTTTGGTGATTTTTATTTTTAAAAAACTGCTTTTCTCTCCCTCTGGAAAAAAATAAATATTATTGTGTACTAACATCTTAGAAATAAGTTATGTGAAAATTATGGCTATCATAAAATACACAAACCATATATAAAATTCACAAGTCAAATATTAAATGTTGACATTAAAACTAAAAATCATATGTTCACTTAAAAAATGATAAGCCACAGACTGAGAGAAGATATTTACAACACATAAAAATGAGCAAATGCTATAAACAGAAGAAACTAGTCTACAGGACAAATAGTTTACATGAACAAAGGCCTCATCTACCCTGAGACCAGAAGAACTAGATGGTGCCCAGCTACCACTACTGACCATTCTAATCACGGCCACAATAGACAGATTCTGATAGAATGGGAGAAAAATGTGGAACAGAATCTTAAATTCCTTAAAAAAAAAAAAAAGACCTACTGGACTGGTTGAGACTGGAGGACTCCCTGAGACTACTGGCCCTGAATTACTCTAACCTCTGAGGTCACCTTGTAACAAAATAATAACCTGGCTAAAAAAAATAATGAGTATCAGTCATAAGTACTGTGCTCCTTTAAAAAATTGTCTATATGAGACTAAATGGTCAACAATTACATTAAAACAAAGATGAGAATGTAAGGAGGCAGGGAAACTAGGTTAATGAAAACAGAACAACCAGAGCAGAAATAACAAGAATGTTCACACATTGTGAAGAATGTAACCAATGTCACTGAACAACTTGTGTGGAAATTGTTTAATGGGAACCTAAACTGTTGTGTAAACCTTCACCAAAAACACAGTATTATCTTTTTAAAAAATTGAAGCTGAAGAAAGTCCAGGAAAAAAAGACATAAACAGATGAATAACAGAAAAGGAAATGGAAATAGCTCAAAAATGGGAAAAAAAAAGATAATCATACTCATTAGGACATACCCATTGCTGTCGAGTTGATTCCAACTCACAGCAACCCTATAGACAGAGCAGAATTTCCCCATAGCGTTTCCAAGGAGCGGCTGGTAGATTAGAACTGCCGACCTTTTGGTTAAACAGCCTGAGCTCTTAATCACTGTGTCACCAGGGCTCCATATCATTAGGACATGGGAAAATACAGATTAAGACAACCATGAGACATCATTGTATATCCTGAGATGTACAAAAACTTAAACATCTAGTAATACCAAATTTAGTTCAATTTGGGGAGACAGGAGTTCTCATACATGCCCCGAGAATCTTATTTAAGTCATTTGGGACAGGACCAGGCATCAGTACTGTATTAATATTTTAAAATCTCCTCAGGTAATTTCATTGGAGCTTGGTGAGGATGGGGCACATTAAGAGTTACACTTGCTCCTGAGCACAGCTACCTCTAGTGGTGTCTGATTTCTCAACCACACCCTTCACATCTCAGGTATGGGGTTCCAGTTTTTTCAGTTGCCACAGAGTGGACTCTTTCATGGCAACCCCACATGTGTCAGAGTAGAACTGTGCTCAATAGGATTTTCAATAGCTGATTTTTCCTAAGTAGGTGGCCAGACTTTTTTCTAATGCATCTCTGGGTGGACTCAACCTACAACCCTCTGGTTAGGATGTTCGGCTTCCTTGGTTCTCACTGCTACTTGCAATTCCCTATCCCTCTCTTCTCTCCTTGAAACCTACCCCTGCCAATTAAGGTCATCTACAAGCCCCATCACTCCTTGATTTATTGAGTATTTTATCACCAACTAGTTGTCTGAGTCTAATACAACTCCTGTCATAATTCTGATTTCAATACCTATGTAGAGCTTTTCAGTTCCTTGATGTTCTCTCCTCTA